CCTTTTCACGTTAATTTAGATAATTAATTATCCAAAACTTGATGCATCATGCGTTTCAAAACCAGGTTAGCCCGGAAAAGTTCTAACAAAGAAAATAAACAGAACCCTCACAATTTTACAATTTCTTACAAGCAGAAAAGTGTCTAGTCTGCATCTCAATAAAATGTTTAATGGGCGTTATTATTATTATTATTATTATTATTGCTATTAAAGCACACAAAAAAAAAAAAACTTTTTAAAACACTAGCGTCTCCGAATACCCAGGTGGTTGGGGTGAAGCCGATCATGAAGAACTCGTTAACTCGAAGCAAGGCTGCTCACTTCGACCTCAAAAATTAGATCTGAGAGTTTACAAGGTGCAATGTGGAGGAGTGCGCTGGTATTGCGCAACCGATGCCCTTTAGAGGGGCTCTCCAAGGATTTGTGCCTGAACGCTCTCATTCCTATCAGTTACTCAGTAGCTCGCTGAGCTGTTGCATTCTGGGTGTTTTTTCATGCTCCAATATTTCACGTGGTGAGCTTGTTGAGTTTGATGCTCACAAAACAAGAAAATCTCTCCATGCAACAAACAGCAGCTGATGAGATTTTCCCTTCAAAGCTCTGACTGCGTTTCCCATAAGGCACCTGGATCTGTTGTGGATCTGTTGGCTGCTGAGCCAGTGGCTCAACCATTTCAAAGAAAAGTAGTTAATTCAACGTTCAAACGGGAGAGAGAGAAATAGAAAGAGATAGAGAAATAGTGAAAGAGAAATAGAAAAAAAATAGAGATAAAGAAATATAAATAGAAAGAAAGAGAGAGAGAGAAAGAAAGAAAGAATGAGCTTAAAGTACACCAGGCTACTTGGTATTAAAAGTTACTTAATAAAAGAATTAGACTGAATAATTAAAATAGTTAATTTAACATATTGGCAATATTTTTTAGCAATGGATTTAGATATGGATTTTTCATCCTTGTTTATAAAACAATATTTGTCGGAGATATGACAGTTTTCATTCATTCGGACTGAAAATACTGAACTCTACCATTTTCAGCTGCTAGACGGCGCTCGAGCGGTATGGCATGCTGTTGTGTCATGTTATAGGTAAAAGTGGCTATTAATGAAACAATCGGCTTGCCATAGCCTGCCACCTTGGTCCAGCTTGTCTGGAGCAACCGTCAAATCAGCTTCATTTCGCTGCGACGAAATAAGTTCAACCGAGACAGACCTTTGCTCTAAATTCGAGCAAACAAATTTGTTTTTAGGCGCTTATCTTGTTAAATTTTCAAAGAAATGCACAGCGAGTCCTCCCTCTGCTCGCTCCCGCGTATCGGCTTTTAAAACGCAGCTGATTTGACCGTCAAAGTGCATTTATTAAGCAAAATTACGACTGAGACACACCTTTACTATAATGTCAAGCAAGCACAGTGTTAATCTTGTTCAATTCCTCCCGTGCACGCTCCAGAATCGATTTTTGGCGCAACGCCAGCCCACGTTTCTGGGTTCGGATCACATTTCTGGGTTATCAGCGGTGACACATAATAGATGCAACGTATATGGCAAAGAGACGTATTTATTAATTGTTCCACTTTATTAGACATATTTGGATTGATGCGACTTACAGGGTGGTGCAACGTGTACGGCGGAAAATATGGTAATCTAATCTCTCTTTTCCAAGTGCTAAATTACACTGATGAGAGTTCTGACTTTTATTCCTCCTTTAATAAGAGTAAAGTTTTAATTTAAAGCATTTGTTTATGAGGGGTGACAACAAACCGCTCAGTCTTCCAGTGTCCTTGCCCATCTTTAGAGCTACATGTCATGGAAGGATCCAATCGTTTTGTTTACTCATGAGTACCAGCACAAAAAGTTCATGTGGACACCACGCAGACGGGCCTGCGTTCACTCCAACTTGTGGTGACAACACACTGGAACATCCTCGTAACAGCCAATAAATTCACAATTATTTCAAATCTTGATCTGGATGAGCCGAAGTCGAGCGGAGTAGATGTTCGTTTAAACCTCCCTTTAATCGTTAATAGCCGATCTCAACTTCCTGCAGATTAGATTCGGTTTCTGTTGTACATATTTCAAAGAGCTCACGGCGCTTCCATCCACGTTGTGATGACGCACCTTTAGCTGCTGCTCCATAAACATTACAAACGGGATCATGTTTTGCCACCAACAGGAAGCTTTTCTCTAGAAGCATTGTGGGGGGGGAGGAACTACGGAGAGGACCGGGTGGTGATTTCAGCTAAAAAAAATGCCTCTGCAGCTGAGAAGTTCACATATCACAGCAGTAGCCATATCAACCGTGGCCACCTTTAAGCTAATTAGAACCGATTAAGAAGATTAACTGGACTTGTGTCTCGAGCAAAGAGATGAAAAAAGCAGGCTTGCTTACAAATTTACCACAAAAGCAGCGGAAAAAATAAAACATTCCGACAAATTACCACTTGTAGCCGACAGAGTTAACTTTGTAGTAAGACAGGAGGTAAAGGGAACATTTATTCCTCTTGGAAAGGTGGGTTCAAGGTGTGACTCCGCCTCTGCCTGCCCTGAAAAGACACCTGTTCTGTGATCCGACAGGTGGGTCATCGAGGAAGAGCCTAACTGCTGCTGCCGAGGCCTCCTGCTCACTTCATGTCTGCTCTCTAGCTCCTTCTGCGCAGTTAAAAAGCAAAGACTTCACTAAAAAGCGACCGTCTTTAAAGAAAGCACTGATCTGTACAGAAACGGGCGAGAGCACGCCAATAATCCAGCGTTCGTGCCTCGGAAGGCTCAAACGGCTGCCACACGCCGGCACGAACGCACGTCACATACAACGGCAAACATTAAGGGTGGAGTTAAAGCTTAAACCTTTAAATCCACGGCTGCGCTATCAAACCACGCGAGCAAGAGCCGAGGCAGCTGTTGCCCAGGCTGTTGGGTGCCTGCATGCCAAACACACACACCTGCACGCGCTTACAGCAGCCGATCGGTGCACTTTCACGGTCTCAGTTCATGTCTGCATGCATGTCGGTGCACTTTACATGACGTAAGGAAGGAGGTGGACACGTGGCAAACGGCTCATGTGTCGCATTTAAATATTGACGACGGCTCATCGGAGCTGCATATGAACGATCTCTTGCCTCGGTCGTTGGTTTCCCTGGGGTTTTATAAGAAGTTTCATTAAAAGGGGTGAAGAGCGGTTAAGTCGATGACCCGGTTACCGTGTGAGGCCTCGACACAGCCGCACACAAGGTCATCGAGGAATAACCCGTTAGATTAGCTGCTTTACATCAACACTGATGCTCTGAGGCAGGAATTAGAGCTGACTGAGGAAAGACTTAGCTCGTGTACTTGACCTGGGATGTAGGGCTTTAGAACAGGATATCCAGTTTAAAACGCAACCATAAACACCTCTAAATTTATTTCTGGGTCTTCAGTTAGTTAAAATTAAACAGACTGCAATTTCTGAAACAGCAGTGTGAACACTGAACGAGCTGAAACCGAGTTGTTACCAAGTTTAAAGAAGCGGAAGCTAAAAGGGTTAGCTAAGAAGGTTAATATAGTAGGTAATAATTTAATATAGTAGGTTAATCTAGTAAATTCTCACTTAAGGCAGCAAAAGGCTAATTAAATTTAGCATAAAGTACCTCAAAGTTGAAGCATTTCAACGAAAACGTAACTAAAACCAAAAAGATAAAATTAGCAAAAAGATGGCTAAATGTACCAAAAGGTTAGCTAATGATATCAAAAAGCTATCAAGCAGGAATGAAAGTGTGAACATTAGCTAAATACTAAAAGCAAAAGTCTAGCTAAACATTAAAAAGCTAAAAGCAGCAAAAGTTAGCTAAAAGCTAAGAGGAGTACATGTTAAACACAGCAAAATGCTAGTTAAATGTATCAAAAATGTAAAGCTAAATGTAACAAGTAGTAGGCTAAAAGCTAAACGTGGCAAGACTAAACATAGTAGAAAATCTACGCCAAAAGTAACAAAAATTTAGCTTGAATGGGCAAAAGATTCGCTAAAAATAGGAAAAGGTTTATTAAAATATATATAAAAGCTAACAAAAAGCTAAATGTAGCAAAAGGCTAGCTGAAAGCTACTTTTAGCTAAAGGCTAGCTAAAGGTGGCAAAAGGTTAACTAAAAGTAGCATCAAAGTTGGTTCAAATGGCAAAAGACTAGATAAAAGTTGCAACAAGCTAGCTAAAAATGGCAGAAGACTAACCAAAAATGGCCAAAGGATATAGCTAAAAGTAGAAAAAGTGGCACATGGCTAGCTAAATGTGGCAAATAGCTAAAAGTGGCACAAGGCTAGCTAAAAGTGGCACAAGGCTAACTAAATGTGGCAAATAGCTGAAAGTAGCAAAAGGCTAGGTAAAAGTGGCACAAGGCTAGCTAAAAATGGCAAATGACTAGCTAAATGTGGCAAATAGCTAAAAGTGGCACAAGGCTAGCCAAAAGTGGCAAATAGCTGAAAGTAGCAAAAGGCTTGCTAAAAGTGGCACAAGGCTAGCTAAAAGTGGCACAAGGCTAGCTAA